ATAGATATAAATAGAAGATAGATAGATAGATAGATAGATAGATAGATAGATAGATAGATAGATAGATAGATAGATAGATAGATAGATAAACACATTAAGTGATTTACCCTTGCCTTTCATGGCACGTCAAATTGGTGCTTGAGCAAGAATAACTGGACAAAAGGATTATGATTCTAGAAAAAAGCAATTAGTGTGGATATCACAAAGCAGTGTATCACAAGACATGCTTTGTTCATATGCTGCAAACAAAACCCTATACAGAATGTTTTTAAAGGCTTTAGAAAATCAGTCAGATTGGATTTGAGCTTCAGGTGTAATATAGATGTGAAATGTGGAGTATAGTAATTTGTATTTTCAAATTCTTTCTAATGAGAATATAAAGTTCTCATTAACTCTAATAGAAGGTTTTATTTATACATTTGACAAATCAGACACCAAGTGAAGTTAATTTTTTACCACAGGACATTTATATCCTTTGCATCCTCTCTATGTGTTTGAATAACGTATATCACTTTCTTTGGTTTCTGGGATAATAATTTGGGAAATGATGGCATGTCTTCAGAATCATCCCTTTCTGTCAAACTAACCACACTGTCATAGAATGATATAAAATGAGGCATCACCCCTTTAAGGAAAGTCAAACTGAAAAAATATTTTAAAAAATCAAATATTGGTATTATTTCTACTATGGCCCCATGAATGTTGCTGAACTAGAATCCTACAACCCCAATTAGAAAAGGCCACAGTAGGGAATTGTGGGAGATGCAGTTCAGCAATATCTGGAGAGTTATATATTCTTCAATCCTTTGGGTCCTAAAACATCAGTGAGAGTTACACTTTCGTACAGCATGGTGGCAATGTAAAAAGATTGGGAGAAATATGGGCATCTGATATAGCATGTTGTCTCCAGGCCATGGGGGGTACAAAATATATCAGTGTAAGTTTGCTCTTTCAGCAACACTGTCAGGATGCACAGCCTGGGCATCATTTAGCTGAAACAGGAGGACACTTTCACTTAGCCAGTGTTGCTGGCCCCTTCCTGATGCACTGATTCAAATACCTGCATTTCTTTTATATCCATAAGTAACAACTGACTTTAGCTATATTTCACCACTTTACCAGACATCACAATTCCTCCTAGCATGTTCTGGAATTCATCTGGCCAAATATAAACTATGCCAGCATGGAACATTCCATGAACCGTGTATTGCAATCTTGCATGGTTATTACAAAACACACACACACACACACACACACACACACCAAACAAAAAACAGTTACATAGAATTTTAAAGTTCTGACAAATATTAAGGTTTACTGAAGAGACAGACAGAACTTTAATGCCCAATGCAAATAGTAACTAATTAGACAGGAAGNTGTATTGATTCGCATTTCCAGCATTTTGGGGAGGTATTTGTTAAGATTTTAGCTAAACGTGTTGGTGCCAGGTGCTATCTGTAAAACATTTTGTACTGGTTTTCCTTGTATGCAACTGATAGTGTCATTTTTAAGTTGGTTCCCCAAAATTGTCGAGTCTTTTCTTAAAAACCTCCAGTGATGAAGCTCCTACAACTTCTGAAGGCAAGCTGTTCCACTGGTTAATTGTCCTCACTGTTAAGATGGTTCTCCTTAGTTCCAAGTTGCTTCTGTCCTTGATTAGTTTCCATCTATTGTTTCTTGTCCTGTCTTCTGGTGCTTTAGAAAATACGTTGACCCTCTCTTCATTGTGGCAGCCGCTCAAATACTGGGATACTGCTATCATGTTACCCCTAGTCCTTTTCTTTAGACTGGTCCAGTGGTGGGATTCAGCCAGTTCGCACCTATTCGGGACAACCGGTTGGTAACTTTCTAAGCAGTTCGGAGAACCGATTGTTGGAAGAAATCTCATTTTGTTTTTTTTCACTTTACAGGCTAATCCTATAAGGAAGACAGGAAACATTCTGGGTTGTTTCTAGCCTAATCTTTATTGCCCTGCTTACCGAAACTGCCTCTTCGGTTAACTCTTATTACATTGTAACAGCTAAGGCAAAGCGCCCATCGACCTGAGTGACATCGAGTTGGCCACAACCATCCAGTCACAAGACCACCAAGCCACTCCTACCCAGCTGGTCATTAGGGAAGAGGACCGGTTGTTAAATGATTTGAATCCCACCACTGGACTGGCCATACCCAATTCCTGCAAACATTTTTATGTTTTTGTCTCCAGGTCTTTAAACATCTTAGTTGCTCTTCTTTGCACTTTTTTCCAAAGTCTCAACATCTTTTTTATAATGTGAGGACCAAAACTAGATGCAGTACTCCATGTATAGCTTTATACTAAGGCTTTATAGAGAGGTACAAATACTTCACATTATTTTGATTCAATGCCTCTGTTTATACAACCAAGGATTTTATTAGCTTTTTTGGCTACTGCCACATACTGCTGTCTAAGTGATCATCTACTAGGCCTCCAAGATCCCTCTCAAATTTACCATTTTTGAGCCAGGTTTCGCCTATTCTGTACTTGTGCCTTTGTTTGTTTTTTCTGCCTAGGTCTAAAATCTTACTTTTCTCCACATTAAATTCATGTTGCTGGATAGGGCCCATCATTCAAGTCTGTCAATCTTTTTGCATCCTGAGCTTGTCTTCTGGGGTGTTGGCTATTCCTGCCAGCTTAGTATCATCTGCAAATTTGAAGAGTTCCTCTTGTGTAGTGTAGTGTAGTGTAGTGTAGTGTAGTGTNTATCTATCTATCTATCTATCTATCTATCTATCTATCTATCTATCTATCTATCTATCTATCTATCTATCTATCTATCTATCTATCTATCTATCCGTTAAAGAAAGATCGCAATCCCAGCGACGAGCAATTGTAAACAAGGCAACCGGTGTTCGGGGTGTGGGTGTGTGGCTTCCCCCCCCCCCCACGCTTCTTTTTAACTGGAACAGCAAAGACCGCTCGAGAGGTAGTGCCAAAGCGTGGACCCGCTGGACTAAAAACAGGGATCGCCTCCGGCTTTCAATATTGGGGGGATAAAGAGACGACGGCGGGAGGGGGGATCTGTTGAACACGGTTAGGGTGTCCTGTAATGGGTGGCATCCCCCCCCCGCCCCCTGGCGTCCCCGCATCCTTAGGGGGATCGTGTGCCTCAAGACCTATCAACTCTGCCCCAGAGGTAGCAGCAGAAGGAAACTCTGGCGGGTGGCCAACCGGGCCACTTGGAGATACCTCCCACTCGGCAGCCGTCTCTGCGTGGGCGTGCGGGTGCTGGGGGGGGGGGAACCGTGCGTGCTGCCAGCGTCAGGTCCCGTCCTTCTTCGGATCCTGTCATTTACCCATCAGAAAGATTTCTGCAGCGCCTCCAGCCAGCCCAAGAAAGCATGTCTGGGAGCAAATACGTAGATTCCGAGGTAGGAGCTGCTTTGCATTTTTTTAAAAAAACGGCTTGACATTCCTGGCAGCCGGTTACCTGCTCCAGCCGTCTCGCGAAGCCCTCTTTGGCTCGCCTCTTATCTCTTATCTTCTCCACCTCGGAGCCTCTTCCCGAGAGGGGAGGAAATCCGGACTTTTCCGGGCAAGGGGAGGTTATTCTCTCGGTGGTGACCGGTAACTCGATCTCCTTGGCTGGGCACTTCTCTTTCCTCCCCCTTCCCCCTCCCGTCCCGAGCTGGGTTGCTCAGTTTCTTTCGCCCCGCAGCAGTCGAAAGACCGCACCAGTTCGGGCGTCTCCACCCTGAGACCAGCAAGCAAACGGCTCTCGGCGCGTAAGTGCGGGACGGGGGGGGGGAGGGGGAGGCTTTGCCGCTCTGCAAAAAGTCTCGGGTGCAGGACCCCAGTCACACACACACACACACACACACACACACACACACACCACAGACAGACAGACAGCCCGTGTTGTGGCCATTAATCAAGGCGGGAGAGAGGATTTCTGGAGAAGGCTGCCCCGAGTCCAGCGGCCAGGCGTTCGTCGAGGGGGCTCTTTCGCTCTTAGGAGGAGCAGATCTCTTGCACCCATCCAGAAGAGGGCAACGAGGGGTTGGGGTTGCCTTAACAGAATGCCTCCGCCCGAGAGTTTTCATGGCTGACTTACTGAGGTTTCGGGACTTGTTTTTTTTTTAAAAAAAAAACCCTTTGAAGTAAAACCGACCGGGCATCGGGAAGTTCATTTTAAGAGCATCTCCACAAAACGCAGCAGGGTTAGAAAACTGGTTTTCTTTTTCCCCGGACACCATCACCTTTCCGACGCGGCCCAGTCTAGAAGCAGTGACCAGGCTGGCTGGGTGCTGGTTATTAAGAGTGCCAAGACTTTTGACAGCTCCAAGTTGGAAGAGGCTTGAAACTTCACTTTTCATTGTCGCTTGATTTCAAATTCAATCTTTTGAAGTCTCGTCCATCACCCCGTGATTTAATACTAAGGAGTAGTTAGATATTGCCCACTTCATCCCAAACCTGCCTGCGGGAAAATCGGGCCAAAACTGTTGCACTTTTAATGATCGCTGCGTGGCCTCTTTTCCCACCTACCCCAATTCCTTGGGACGCTCAACTGAGGCGGGCGAAGAGCTTTTATGCCAACCTCAGATCCTGCCTGGATAGTCCAAGCAAGGAGCCATTTTTCTAGCAGATCTTAGAACGAAATAAAAGGAGGCTTTAGGCGATGTACCCGCGTTTCTTCCAGGGCCAAAGGGGAGCTCATGCAATGCCCCCAAAATATCGTAGGCACTGAAGTGAAGAGGCTCCGTCTAACCAAATTGGGACCTGTGAAGTGTCTGGTTTTCTCCCACGGTGGGTGGGTCATTCTGGCAGCCACCACATTGATCGGCGATTTCGGAGCTGGAAGCGCCGGAATTCAAGGGCGAGGTAGCCGCTCCCTGCCCCGCGGAGTTCGCCGCGCCCTGCTTCTGCCTGTAGAGGCCCCCTGGCGGCGCGAGGCGGAATTGCAGCTCAGGCCGGTTCCCAGAGGGGTGTGTTGGAGGTACCGTCCTTTTTAAAAAGCCCAGGGCCTTGAGGGACAGTGGCCGGATGAAGTTCCTCCTGCCTTGATCGGCTCCCCAATCCAGCAGCTCTGAATCGTCGCGGGAATCTTTTTCCCCACTCTTCCCTCCCTTTCCTTTCCCAGGGACGCTCAGTTCAAGGCAGCGCGGCGGACTGATCGTTTCCCCACCCATCCCCGCTTCCCTCTCCAGGATTATCTCTACACGGGGCCTCTCCGGGAGCAAGGCAACATTTACAAGCCCAACAACAAGGTCATGGCTGACGAACTGAGCGAGAAGGAATTCCAGGACGTCCACACCAAAGAAATCGACTTAGTTAACCGGGACCCCAAGCATCTCAACGACGAAGTGGTGAAGGTAGGAGTCCGAGATCTGTTTCTATGCTTCCCCCTCCTTCCCCCGGGTCGGAATGGACTGAGGGAGTAAGAAGATGCGCAGGGATTTCCCCAGGGAAACTCATGACAGTTTCTTTCCTAAACTCGGGTTTTCATACACTGGTAGAAGTTTGCATAATGTCGCTCAGTGCTCACTTTTTAAAGGCCAGTGTGTAAAATCCGACGCACGAACCAGCTGAGAGATGCAGAATGTACACCTTTATCTTGGTTAAGCCATTCTGATGGCCGAATGGGTCAGTTAACATGTTTCGATTAGAACGAGGAAAAACACTCTACTGCACGGGTGAAGCTTTTTAATGTTTACCGTCGTAATGGATTCTTTATTTGAATATATTATTACCTTTTACAAATGTTCAGTAAATAACTCTCCGGAAAAACTGCATGCAGCTGAATGTGGGTCTCTGTTTTCCAGCAAGTTAATATTTGAATAACTTGTTGGAAAACCTGTAAAATGGAAACAATGCTAGTGACAAGAGTGCTAAAACTGTGGGAAAAGTAAAGGATCACAAGCTACATTGAAAAAAGAACAGTAGATCATGTAGAATGTGTTTTTGCTTTGGAGTTTTGGAATGGGGGTGGGGAGTGGCCATTCTCCATAAAGTTTTTGATGTTCTGCATGTGTTTATATTTAAGATGCCATGTGATTCTGGTGTCTTTTTTTAAATACTGGGCAATGTTAACTGTACACTCACTTCTCAGGGCTTACTGTTGAATAACCATAACCATTGCATTATTTTGCAACATCTGATCGTAGAAGAGAAAACAAGTTGCCACCTAGAATAAGTTTGGGAGGTTGTGTGATTAAGAGAAACATGCATTTGAATATTTTCTCATTAAACGTAACACTGTTCACAAGAACTTGCCTTCAGAAGTGCTACAAAAGGGAGGAGGAGGAGGAGGAGGGGAGAACCATGAATCATTAATTGGTAAGCTAAACAAATGGAAAAGAATAGGTCTGCAAGGTTTAATCTCTTTTGGATTATTTAATTCTAAAATGATGGAATTGGGCAAATTGTTTTTTTAAATAGATATTTTCAAATATGCAAATATTTGAAAATATTGCAATATGCAACTGCAAATATAAAGTGCCGCTTTAGAAACGTATTCCCCCTTTTTTGTGTCACAGAAGGAAATGCCAGCTCTAAGATGAGGTTTATTAAAGGAGGGAAAGCAGGGATGTTGGGAAATATGTATATGTAGACTTTAATTTATTTATGCAATTTTTGTACTGTCCATCATACTTGCATGAATGAGCAGTTAACAAATAAAACAAAATCATATAAAAACCTCAGTCAAAAACAAAGTTAAAAACAAGATAGACATGAGTTAAAAAGAACAATTGCAAAACTGAAAGGCACACTTTGAGATGTGTACTGGAGGCCACAATATAAAGTAGACAGGGCCTGCCAAGACAAAAACAAAATTTGAATTTAAGTTAATTCTCAGTTCACCCTTTCCATCTGGTGGCAACTTCTGGAGATGGTCTAGAAGTCTCATATAGGTTTTGGGGGGTTGCATATGGCCTCACATTGAAAGCCATAAATATAACAGTGGTGACATTTTGTTCCGAGCCATTGCCCGGTACAAGTAAATTTAGAATTTAATTGCATGCAGATAAATCTCACCACTTCTGGACGCACAGTACTGGACTCTGAGGCAGAGTTTTTCAAAAGATTTTCTTTAAAAACTTCACTCAAATGCAGTTAGCAACAACCATATTAAATTTTCTTTAAGTATAAAGAAAGGGTGGGACTTGTATTCCCACAAAAAAAAAAAAAAGCCATGGCCTCCATTTTGTGCTCAGAGATTTCAGTAAGTTTGTTGATGATTCAGAGGTTCTGCAGTTTGAAAAAAATGGCAAACCCATGCTCTTAAATCATTAAAGGATGGTCCAGATATCTGTCATTGGAAAAAAAATGAAAATTTATGTGATGTGGATTCCCAGTTGACGAAAAGAAAGAAATTATTATTTTACTCTATCTTCTAGCTTCAAGTCTCAGTATTTCTGCCTATGTAGGCACTGTGGCATCACAGATGGGCTAGTGTGGGATGGCAGAATTAGAATTTGTGGAAGTAGACAAAAACCAAACTAAAAGAGCGGAGGGAAGGTAAAAACAAGAGAAAAACAAGAGAAGCGGGCTTTCCCAAAAGGTGGCTCTATACCAGGGGTGTCAAACTGGCAGCCCGTGGGCCAGTTGCATCACAGGCAGGCCACGCCCACCCCAGCTCCAATGGGAAAAACATTGCAAAATGTCACATGATGGCAATGTGGTACCGTGAGTTTGACACCTGTGTTCTATACTAGTGCCTATTAAAAGTGGTACCAGTAAACATTTGCACTCAGTAGAGTAAGTCAGAGGAATGGTGTCATTGCAATGGCTGCAGGGTCTGTGGAGAAAGCAACCAATAGGGTGGGGGTGGGGGGAAGACAGAGATTAAGACTAAGGATAGGGTCCAATCTGCCTCTCTTCCTCACTTTTTCCCTCTGATACCTGAAGCAGCCAATGTACTATATGCCTACAGTAATGTTCAGGTCAGCCCTGGGCCCATGCATTAGAGAAGTCTGGGAAAGGCCTGGCTGGATTTTATACTATCACATTGTGCTGCAGGTTCCATCTGGCTTGCACTGACTTAAAACCAAGACATGCAATCACTGAAAGTTGCACTTGGCTTTTTGGTGAGATGCCAGAGACTTCACGCTGAAGAACAGGAGCACAAGTGGGGAAAGCTAGAATAAAAGTGCTTTGGTTTCTATTCAATGTAATTAATTAAAGCCCATTGAAATTAATTAAATACAGTTCAAATGATTCCTCTTAGTGTATTGCATCAATTTAACCTTTTCCCATATGAGAAATTGCCATTTGGTGGCAAATTTGGAGTGAAGTTTGAAGTCTCAGTTAGGGCTGTACAGCCGGGGGGGGGGGGGGGGCTTCCAAAATTGCAGCAACGGGTTCGCTACAGGGAGACATTTTTCACCCTCCCCCAGGTTCCAGAGGATTTCCTTGAGCCTCCGGGAGGGCAAAAACTGCTTTCCCCGAGCTCTGGAGGCCCTCCAGAAACAGGCCCATTTCTGGACTTCTGGAAGTTCCGGTAGGCCCATTTTATGTCCTCCCCAGGCTCCAGAGGTTTTCTTTGAGCCTCCGGGAGGGCAAAAACTGCTTCCCTCAGGTTTCAGAGGCCCTCCAGAAACAGGCCCATTTCTGGACTTCTGGAACTTCTGGTAAGCCCCTTTCACCCCCTCCCCAAGCCTCCGTGTGGGCCCTGTATTTACCTGGTATGATGAATGGGCCATGTGGAGACTCCTGGGAGGGGAGGAGTGAGAGGGGCGGGGCAGCGTGGGTGTGGCTAGCCATGGGTGGCATTTGGGGGTTCGCCAAACTGGGCAGAATTCTAGCTAGAGGATCGCCTGAACCTGTGAGAACTGCCTGCAGCCCACCCCTGTGTAAAGCGCTATCAGGCCTGAAACTTACTTATGAGAGAGAGAAATCCATGTTACACGGCAGTGTTGCCTAGTGAAGTTTGTAAGGGGGACAAACTGAGTTTAACACTATTGTTTAGAATATTGGAGTGGGCAAGATTTTTCTAGTATTTCTGAGGAAGGTTGATATACATGAGAAAGCTTTGTTGAAGACTGCCCAGAGTCACTTTTTTTGTGAAATGGGCAGCTAGGTAAATTTGACAACTAAATAAAATAAAATGTATTTTAGCCAACAAGCAACTGAATTTTTGCTTCTGGAATTTAAATTTACAAATTTCTATGAAGGACGTTTATGAAATTGAGGGGGACTCAAGTTGATTCTGGTTATTTGTTTTTAGTTAGCGTTATAAAACTGCTCTTTAGAAGGCCAGATCCTGAAGATGAAACTCAAATATTTTGGCCACCTAATGAGAAGGAAGGACTCACTGGAGAAGCGCCTAATGCTGGGAAAGATTGAGCGCAAAAGAAGAAGGAGGCGATAGGGAAGGAGGTGGCTGGATGGAGTCACCAAAGCAGTAGGCGTGAGCTTAAATGGACTCCAGAGGATGGTAGAGGACAGGAAGACCTGGAAGAATGTTGTCCATGGGGTTGCTATGGGTCGGACACGCCTTCGCAACTGGCAACAGCAATAAAATTGTAGGTAATTTGTAATAGAAGAAGAGTATATAGATACTGATGAATGATCTGTTCAAATATTCAGATGGTGGTTATGACTACGTGACTGAAGCTCCACCACATTTGACGTGCATGTGATATCAACACATATACCAAAAGCCTCAGGGCTTTGATTGCACAGTTGTGATCTCCATCTTGACTTCTTTGACTCATCCCTTCAAACACTCCTGGTGCCTCTGTGTGTGTGTGTGTGTGTGTGTGTGTGTGTGTGTGTGTGTGTGTGTGTGTTTTCATCTGAGGTTCGAAATCTAGTATGCTCACATTTCATAGGCTTGAAGAAGTTCTTAAGCTACTTCATATCCTGAAAGGAAATTATATCATTCACAGTGTTTTGCTTACAATGTTTTGCTCACAATGTCTTGCTTGCATTATTAACATTTCTTTTGTCTCAAAGCTAATTCAGATGTTTCCTTCTATAGCACAAGTGGTTCAGTGAGCTGATTAGGAACATACTGTCTATTACTTAAGAGATTGTATATTTGGATGTTTCTGCCTCTTGTATGTTTTCTAATGCCAGAACTCACTTCCCTGATATTCTCTCAAGAACTGTCTTTTAATTGATTGCCAAATGAGCATACATCACTGTCTAGTATATCTGTATTCTATAGTGGTACACTAAAGTCAGCATTGTCACATTTCTCTTCTCGGTTTCCATTAGTTCTTAATTTTTACCAAAAGAATAGGAAACTTTCACTTTCTCCACCAAATAATCATTGTTAGGATAGGCCAAATGGCCTTCTAATCTAGACCCTTCCACCAGACACTACCATGTAGGTACCTCTTCTAAACCCAACAATCATCCAGCAGAA